AACCCATTCAAATTTACAAAACTATTACAAAATACAAGTACCATTGAAATTTGCAATATATTCTATTTTGTCTATTTTTATGATTTTTATATTAATTTTTTGTGTAAAGAAATGATTTATGACAAACTAAAGTGTTTTATGAAAGATGTAGACCACAATAAAATGTATCTTTATTCTTATATTTGTTTTATATTGCAGACTATTACTGTTTTTACTGCTGTCCTTATTATTCTTTTATTCAACAATATCAGTACTAATAAAATTATTATTACTCCATTGCATAGAAGATTTTGCAGATAAATATAGATAATAGTTGCTCTATAAATACTGTGGACATGACATTTGTGCAATAACTTTTGTAGATTATTTTATAAATATCTAAGATCAGGATTGTAAAATATGATGACAGTCGACTGAATAACAATAATTGTGAACTGGAGTATTATTGTCAATTGTTTATTGCTTAGATACCTCCTTTTGTGACACATACGGTAAGCATAGAATTGTTCAATCTAAATGTTCGTAACTTGAAGCATCTTGAAGCATGACCATAGAAAGCATTTATAAAAAACATACACCTGTTGACTTTAAGAAAGAGTAATGGGCATGTGGCAATCATGAAATTCTCTTTTAAACTTTACTGGCAATCTACAGTAGCATATCTATGGATAGCTTGGTAGGCAAACACACTCCCCTTCCCTACACCTCCCTCCCCTTCCCCACAAAAAAAAAAAAAAAACAGCTTGCATCCCACTCTTCAAGTAACACCTCATTCTGCCTTCTCCATTTAATTAATGATACCCCACTTAATCCTCACTCACCCTCCCAGTCAGAAGGTCAAAAATTGTAAAAAAAAACAAAAAAAACATTAAATGTAGCATATCCATTTAATTACAACCCATTTATGTTATGATATTGTCATTAGATTTGTAGTGTACCAGTAGGACTATGTTAAATGTATTTCCACACATTTAATCGTTGTTTGATGCTCAGCAAGGTTTCATACAATATGCAAAGACAAATGTTGTAGTTGAAAGTGAAACTGGTAATATTGAAACCAAAACTACATTTTTATAATGATGACCAACAAACATTGTTTTTTGTTAACTAGTTAAAACTATAGTAGGCAGAGAAAACTTGATTGTTGCATTTAACACTATTTTTGTAAATCTAAAAAACTCATATATATATATAATCACTGATTCATGGTTTGAAGGGTATTACTGATTCCCATTGTTTTGATTGTCTACAATATTACTTTTGGAGCATTTAATCATTCGTTTTATTGTTTAGTGTTTACAAACCCATCCATGATTACAACATACTGAGACAAAAACGGAATGATATCAGTTGTTATTTCATTTCAATACCATCAAGCCCGTAGCCAGGGGGTTCGTTGGGTACGAACAAACCCCCCTTTTCATGAAAGGCTGGCTAGCCTACACTTTAGGCCTAGCCTAGAGCCTATCATCATTAAAAGTCCTACGTTAAAACCCGATTGTTATAAGACCTACCTAGTAACATAAAAAATTCAATGCTACTGTTGTTAAATTACCAACACTATAGTACTAAAGTAGTAGTTTTTTTTTGTTTTTTATCTTTTCCCAACTCAAAAAATTACCTCTTTAATATATACATTTTTTTAAATGTATGGCCTCTCAAATCAATTAAGTAACGCCTGTAAATGCTAAGAATGCTGGACCCCCACCGGGGTTTTGGCCCTGGACCCCCGGGGGCCCTTGGCAGCCCCCTGGCCCCAGCCAATGGTGTTCGCAAGTGCCCTTTCAGTATCAAAAAGAACCCCTCTACCAATATCCTGGCTACTGGCTTGACCATACGTATTTATATGCTTAAAAAAATTATGCTTAAAAAAATGTTTACTAGTAAGGCTATAAAATCTGCAATTAGGGATGAAATAGTAGAAGCGGTTGGCACATCGGTTGTGGCTTGGTCACCCAAAATTGAGGTGCAAGTCGCTTGTGTCCTTGGGCAAGGCACTTTATCTACAGTTGTCTCTCTCCACCGAGTGGGTACCTGGTACGTTTAAACACACATGCACTGATTACAGCTGCAACATTATGGACTTCTCCCATGGGCCTGAGTATGTGGCCCATATGGCGACCCACTCGATAGAGATTTGATTCTCTTTTTCGGAAGCCTGCCTCCTTTTTGTCTGTTTTTTTGGTGTGTTTATATTGTTATCTGTTGAGGTGAATAAATGAATTGAAATTGAATTGAATGTGCTTGATCCAGCGACCAGGTGTAATACTGCTAAGCGCATAGAGGTCTCTACAATATACGCTATATACAAGTCGACAATTATTATTATAATTAAAACTAGGCAACTGTGGCGTATCTATCAGTATTAAAATGGGGGGGGGGCACGACCAAAATATGAGGGGGCGTGGAATTTATTTTCCGTGGTCACGCCCACTGAAAAATATTGCTTCTTAGATTCCCAAATACACGTTAACCGTGACACAGCATAAGCATAAGCCTAGCCTAATTTTTTTTACTTAGAAGTTTTCAAATGGGGGTGGGGTGGGGTGTAAGCTTTTTGTTTGAATATTGATTTTGACAAACAACAGGCTGACTTTGAGCAAGGCAGCTTTTCGTTGGAAGGTATTACATTATGAAATGTCTCCCAGTCTCGCTAATATTTTGAGGCTGAATCCCAACCGTAGTCCCACACTAAACTTGTACGACCCAACATTCAAACCATGCGTCTGCCTATGTTGACATACTTAGGCTAGATCACCAATTCTATTCTATTATTCTTAATAGTCTTAGTATCACTCAGCAAAAATAAGAAATCAGGATTTTGTTTTATGATGTATATATATTTATTTTTGTGTTTGAAATATTAGAAAAAAAGTGTGTATTTAAATATATTTTTATGATAGTGAAGTAAAATAACTAAGTTCATGTGATCAGAAACGATTAAAATTGATATAAGAGGTTAACACTTGTATTATAAAAACAAAAATTAATTCAGAGACTGGGAGTGGAGGGTAACCTCTACTGTGGGTTAACTTACCGTCTGCTAGCAATAATGCTCTAAATTCAAATAATGGTCTTCTCTTTCTTTATTCCAAGTTCTGATTATTTAAGATTTACTAAAGGATTAATATTTAAAGTTTCTAAACAATTAAAACAAGAAGAAATATATTCACATTTAATACTAGGCATGCCAGTATTTAAATGAATAGGCGATGGCAATCTACAGTTAGGCCTAAATAATCATGATATTCTGCCATATACATAAATATTAAACCTCAATATACACATTAGCTAAATGTACAATAGCTAACAGCTAGGCAAAATTATAGCAACACAATAATATCAAACTAGATCGAGAAGTTAACTAGCATGATAGTACTTTCCACACACTACCTGCGCTCTGTATTGTGATAATGACTGAACTGTTATTGAATAAAAGAATGCCTAATAAATGCCAGGCTACTGTGCACATAAGAGTTAAGGTAGAAAAAAAAGCCAATTTTTGCAAGCATAAACTAAATAATGGACATTAGACAATCAATCAGAGTGGTATATCAAAGGTGCATCACCATTAAAAAACCTTGTTAACAAATATGAGAGAACATGATTCCAACCCTAAATTCTGATGAAAAAGTTGATATAGGAATTTTTCAATTCAATTTATTTAATTCATCTTACAATCTATTAAAATTCAATCAAATATTAATTAATGCCTTTTGTTTACAGCTTATGCAGTAATTGGTGACCTTCACCAGTACATTATAAGCCTATAATTTCAGTCTCATAATATCCAGATTAAAATGACATTTTAGTGATTAGCAGACTTTGTGATGAACTGGTGGAAACTATGGCATTGTCAATCATAAAGCTTTCAAGATGAACAAGTAGAGACTAAAATTACAAAGTCAACAATTAATAAACTAGGGGTAGGCCTGCACATGGGAATAGCTTAAAACAGGCATTCTATAATTAAATTGCTTGCATCGCTGCTTACTGGCTTTGCTATCAAAACAATGTAATTCTAATCGACTGATGTAGATTCATCTATCCAGGTTGACAATAATAAATATCAATTAAAACTTTATATCTCTGGATATAAATTAGTTTTCTATATTTTTGTTATTGTTTCTTTATTTATTATATGATATTTACACTTGTTACATTGCCAGTGATTGCAATTTCTGAGTTTTATTTCAGACAATAAAAGAATCTTGAATCTTAAAGCAGAAAACAAAAGAACTTACGTTTTGAACATAAGTTCTTTTGTTTTCTGCTTTATCCAGAGATATAAAGTTTTAATTGATATTTATTAATATAATTCTAATTAAAGAATGATTCCTAAATTGAATATAATACTTATCAATTTCAAGTGTCTGCAGAACATATGGTAATTTAATTGTTTTAAAGTAAATATATTTTTATTCTTTTTCAGTTGGAAAACGTTTTTATATACCAAAGCAATTAAAATGTTGAATTAAATATTTCAGTTATTCAGCATAATAGAGACAATGCCACAAATCTGTTTGAACTATCACAAGCTAATTTATAAGTTAGTCTTTAATTATTTAAAACAAATATGATTTTAGATGTTTTAGGTAGGCTTAAATCCTATAGGCCTGTAATGAAATATAGGCTCAGCTTATAGTGGCAAATGAATCCTAGTATGAAGGCTAGAAACCCTTGTGGCTCAGCATTTAATGTAACTTTTAAAGCTAAATTACATATGATATTTTGATCATCTAATTGAATGGAAGTATTCATTTTTTATTTCATAAATACCGTATTGTTCATCGACCTTTGTATTTAAGTTTTCTTTTTTTTTAAATTCATTTATTTTTACTGTACTTGAAACAGTATCTGGAACGCCAGTCTCTGAACTCATAATGAACAGAGAAATTTCTTTTATACAGATCAGTGACAGGAATTAGACATCTAAAAATAGCCATCATCCCCAGGGAGTCTAACATTTAATTGGTTTCAGGGAGAAAGTGGGTGGAGCTAATTTTCAATGAATGTCTATGATTGGTTATTACCAATTGAGAGATTAATAGCATTTGCTGCAGTGTGCAAGGTACTTGAACATGAGCGACAGATCTTGTAAATAAAGCTCACTAGCTGTTTTCAGTGAGGCTGAACTGCAACTAAATTTTGTGTGCACAATATTATCTTTTTCCTCATTGTGGAGATAATTTAATCAAACAGGAAAGGACTCAAATTTTGTGGATACATATTTTTACTTCCGGAGGTAAAAATTGGAGAATTTCTGGACATAGTACTTTTACGAATATGATTGTAGTGAAATAGATAATATGGTAAGCATCATTCTTTGTTCTTTATTTAAATATTATTGCTAAGAATAGAGTAAACATAAGCGGACCTGTCAAGTCTCGCGCATCTCGCGTGAGTCCCACGCATTTAGCTTCGATCTCACACCCTCATGTGAGGTCTATATTTTCTCACGCATTCCAGAATTTCTTCAAATTATAATTTTTTTATGTGCTATTGTCTCAAAACAAGCATACAACACATACAAACACAACTATCAGTGCTACCGGTCCCTTAGCGATCGTCACAGTGTTCGACGCTGCCTCAGCAGAAACTGAAGTAAAACTAAATGGGATACCAAAGACACTTTGTATCAATGTATCCACTGTAAAGGTGTATGTTATATCGAGGCTTGACTGTATTTTCCTTAAGGTTTGCGACCTCGCGCATAATTTTAAAAAAATGCCCAATCTCAAGCAGATCCAGAAGAAATCTCAAGCAGCCAGTGTGAGACTCTTGACAGGACTGCATAAGAAGGGTATTGTCCAATGTAGATATACAGTGACCAGTGACTGCTAGCCTTAGATTTTGGTGCTATACAAATATTGATTGATTGACTGATTATTGTTTTGATGATTAACCACTGCATTAAGGCATGGAATACCTCGATGATTCAGGTAAAAAACATGGAGAATAAAACTCAATATTTATATACATTTATATAATATAATATATTTATATAATATAATTATACTTTGCTTTCAATTAAGAATATTTGTAGAAAATATTGAATTAATTCTAACATGGAGTGTAGGCTGATATCCACGATTCCACATAGGATCTGTGGTATACAGTATTTAACACAATGGAAAATCGAAATACCTAATTATGTATATATAATAAATAATTTATTATATATATTTTATTTATATATGCCACAGACATTTTTTTTGTGAAAGTTTTAACAGTTGTCTTTACAGTTTTTTATTTCTTGTTTAACCTGGGTTAACAACTCAGTTGAAACCAACTGTTATCCTTATGTGCCCAGGATACGATACACAAAACATATAATATTTCTACTTACAGTACTTTAATAATTCATATTGAATTTCAAAATGATCTTACTCCTTTTGTACTCAACCTAACTCTACTCAAAGACTAAAATAAAGTTTATAATGCCTATCATTTACTGTATCTGACAATCAATAGAAAAGAAAAGTCTCTTTCTCCTCATCCTTGATAAACGGATGACCAGGGAAAAGAAGTGCGCTTTATAACCTCCTCAGTCAGGGAAGAGGTGCATTATAAATGCCTATACCATTACCCTTTTACACTTACTAAATTTTCCTAATTTTTATTGATTTGGACCCTTTTAATTGACTGTTAAATTGTGAACACTGGCTATAGCATAGGGAGTCCAAAATAGCTCTTTTAGCTACTTTCGTGATTACTAAATTATTATAGGCCTACAAGTCAGACAAGTCTTAATAAAAATTACTTAACTGGCTGCAAGCCGACAGATTTGATCATTGAAGTCATAATTCAAAACATGATATATCAACCACTCCAACAACACACTGGTGAAAATATTCTAACTGAGCCACATTACACTATTAAAAGTTAAATTCCTGTTTTTATAAACAAACTTTTATATTATTTAAAGGGATGCGAAACTACTGTACTTGGTTAAGATTTACTTTTATTATTTTGTCATTGTTTAGTTATATTATAATAAATAATATATTTTGAATAAACTATTCAAACAAACAATTTTGTAAAATAAAATAACCGGCCAACCATTGTTGAAAATTGTTACAAATACAATTTGTTACTTCAGATAGAGCATGAATTACAGATGAAGAATGTAACAAGGACAGAAATAGTTAAACCCATCTGGCAATTTACATCTTAGCAATTTATCATCTATTTTTAGTAACAGCAAACAAGCGTGATGACATGATTATTCTTAGCTGCATAATTGACTAACAATGCATAGATGTTTTCCTATAAATTATATATTTTAAGTGATATGGCATTGAAAAGACATTTTAAGACTGTTGGTTCAATTATGGTGATGGCTCCATTAACCTCCAGTTATGAACGCATTTTTCATCTTATTACTAGAAGGCTTTTATAAATTTTAACATCGATTACAATTTTTCTCAAGCATGGAACACACAAATGCGGTATTAAAATCAGCCTGCAATTGAACTAAATCAGTGTCAGTACCAGTGAGGGCAGGGAGGCTTAAGCCCCTTGTAATCCTCCCCACCCAGCACCATTGGGCGAGACTTTTTGTATGCCTTGTTACGTAAACATAATTTTTTAAAGATCATCAGATAAAGTTTTGTTTTCTTATTTAGCAAATAGTTTTGCCAAAAACATCCAGACGGAGGAGAAAATAAATATAAAATTTTAATATTGATAAATGTAAACAGTGTAGTAATGGGATGGATAAATGCTTTAAATTGATAAAATTAGGAAGGCATAATAAAAATAAAGAAAAACTTATTTTTTTCTGAAATTTCCATTTTTGTTGTGGTGGTGGGTACGATAATTGGCAAAAAATAAAATTTTATTTATATTTGAAATCATCATTTATTTATTTACTTGAATACAGGTAATGAGATACAGATTTTTGAATATTTAACAACTGAGGAAAAAAGTGGAAAAATGGTGTTCAAAAATATGTATCTCAATAAACATTTTTTTCTAAATAAGATTTTTGTGTCTTAAAAATTTACTTTACAAACCAAAAAAGATATATAAAATTTATAATCTACTTGTCTTTAATGGAATTAACTACAGTAATTCTTCTGATATTGTTTTTCTTTTATGAAAGACATCTTCATCCACAAATTCATTATAAAAGTGTTATTTTAAGGAATGCGATTCAAAGGTTCTATCTATAGATTTTAATGAAACCATTTTGAACTCATCAAAATTCATAATGGTTTATTTATAGCTAACAAACTCAAGATGAGATCAACCATGTTAGTAGGAAATGCTTCACAATAATTGCCCTCCAACTGGTGAGCACAGATACGCGGTGCCATTTATGACAGAACCAATTAAGAACGGTGATTGGTAATCTGCGCCCTTATAAGTAGTTTTTTCTCACCCAAGGTCTACATGAAATTGATGTAGAGACTACTCAAACTCATTTTACAAAATCAAGTATAACCACTTTAAGGTACTAGGTATTAAAGTTTAAGAAATTTCAAGTTACAAGAAATTATATTGATCTTTATATCTAAAAACATACAACATTTTGGACATACAGCTAAGGCATCACAAACAGCAAGACCTTGTACAGTAAAAGTAATAGCATTAAAACTAAAAACCACTTTAATCTAATATTAAGAGGGATAAAATTCCATGTTGATAACTAATACAGTATATCAGATAACATTATTACCTTGATTTTAATTATGAAATAAATGGTATAATCATGTCCATGTAAGAAAGTATCTTCAGCACTTTCAGTTCCTAATTCAATCAATAAAATTTAGCTACTTTTTCTTTCACTTATTCAACCATTCTGTATTTAGAATATTAGACTGAGTGAATTCCAGAGGAGAAAGTTAAATTATATAATAATATATTCTCCACACAATGGTTATTTCAAGCTGGTTATTAAACACCAATATTAGTATTCAAGACCTGTATTCTTCAAATCAGTCCTGTTCTATCATAAGAAATCTGGTTCAGATTGCACATTGTTATTATTATTAAAACTTTATTTAACACGGAAGCTGGTGTCTCCCATAGGGTGCTATTCTACAAGGCTATGTTGCCATTGTTAAATATTAACAATATTGTCAATAAAAAATAAACCAAAAGAACAAGCAATCAATAAAACGAAAGCTGTTTTGAATGACTTAGCATTTGCTGCATCTCTCACTTGCACAAGACTTTCCAATATTAAACTTTTCTTTTTATATTCAGTATGTGGATGATCAACTTTTTATGTAATTTTGATTTTTAAGTGAGAAGCGCTCATGATGGAGCCAGGTTATAAAAAATCCTATACATGGTAACAGCTTCATTGTCCAAGATTATCCCATTTTAAGATCTGCAGGGCTTGTGTACTTGAGTTCAAATTAACAATATAACTGCTCAGTTTGACCAAAAGAAATCCAATACAAATAATAGTAATAAATGATAGTGAACTTATATAGCGTGCATAATGTAATATACGCTTTCACAGCCGAAAGAAAAATTCTCCTGATTAAAAAAAAAATTAATATCAAGTATATTAAATATATTAACTTGATTTATTTTAAGTTATGAATCATTTGAAAAATACAGTAATTTTAAGTTTCTTTTATCTATTTTATTTATTCCTTTCTTGTCCTTATAACCTCACTTAACTTTCTTTTCCCTTTTTCCATGTCTTTCATTTTCTTCCCTTTCTTTCATTCCTATTCTATCTTTTCATTAACCTCCCTATAGTTTCCTTTTCCTTCTCTTATCTTTCTAAATCTTTTCATTTCTTTCCTTTCTAATACATTTTTCTTTCTTGTTCCTTCTTTTCCTTTTCTTACCTTTCATTTTCTTTCCTTTTCACATTTTTTTAATTCTTTCCTTTTTCTTTCTTTACCATTTCTTCTATTTTTCTTTTCCTTCTATATCTTTCAATTTCTTACCTTTCTTTTCCTTTGTTTTTCTTTCTTTACCTTCTCGTTTTTTTCTTTTTCTTTTCATTTCTTTACCTTTTCATTTTCTTTCTTTTTCTTTTCCTTCTTTACATTTTTGTTTTCTTACTTTTCATTTTTTCTCTAATGCTGTTTTTACAAAGAGCATGTGTTTCAATTCCCTTAGTTAAATTCAATATTTTTTTAAATTAGAAATTTATGGTTTACATAAGTAGGCTAACCTGATAAAATATTTGTGAGCATAAATTATCCTTGATTTACCTTTAAAATAGGATAAAATTATAACACATTCTGTAGAGTAAGAAGACTGATATATAATTAATATAGAGTTGAAAATAGAACTTAGGGCTACTTTACTCAAGGGAATAACAGAATGAGGGAACAAGTGGACAGAATATACAGCAGCACATGTGTAATTTTTTTTTTTAAATTCTGAAATACACTGTACTGGTTTAGTTTAATACAAGTTAATTATGACGTAAAACATGGGTCAAATATTAGAAATATGAGTATCATTATTACCAAACCAAGATATCAAGGGCTGGTCATCAACAGACTGAAGAGGGTGGACTTCCTCAGAGGAAGTGAAGTTAATTGAAGATCAGAGTATTGAATGAGATAATCAGGAGGTTTTGGAAGAGAATCTTAAAAATTAAATTTAGTGCGATCTTTTTAAAGTTGACAATGTGAATGTGACATAGATTGCTGAACTATAAAGAGCTTTCTCTTAACACATCCAACATCAAACCAAGAAAGTGTTATCTTTTAATATTAGGGAACAAGTCTTTGAATGTGGCTAAAAAATGTGTCAATTATTGCACTCCTCAGTGGCATATTCAGTATTTTGAAGATGAAATGACACTGTTTATCATGTTTTTTTTTGCCATTAACATATTTTACCATCAATAACTGTGCCATGCCAATGCACTGTACTGTGTCACCTTTACTGTTTTGACACAACTAGTACAAATAACAAGATTTTTATTACAGTTAGGTCCTGTATAAAACAATGTTTCTCATTAATCTGATGGGATAGATTATACTATATCCACTTGGTGAAAGATGGAATGTTCTTTGGTATTTATTTAGCACCTTTCCTTTAGGTTATGAAGTGCTCTGTTTTTCCTGGTCATTGGGTCCAATATTAAAAATGATTTATTCCATTTTTTACCTAAAAAAACAACTAAAATATTTACAGCTTTTGTACTTAATTAGTATAAGCACTAGATCTTCTGACAAAAATAAAGCTTTTGATGCTCTTTGAAAAACAATTGGCTATAAGCCTATACATCACTTTCAAATGCAGATTTAAGGTTTGTTAGGATGCAGCTTTTTATGTATTTAGATGCTTAATTTAAATGTTTACACATAATTTAGTAAAAATTAGATCTTCTGGAAAACTTGCACCACCAGCTCTCTGCACTAAAGGCTTAAATGCAATTCTGTTTTGGGGTTTTTCTTAATTCTTTGTGTAGCTGTGTACTATATAAACATGCTTTTGTTGTCTGAGCTGAGCTAATAAACTTAAAGATACCAACTTTGCAGATTGTATTAATTTCCATCGAAAATTAGAACAAGTATATTTTCCTTGCTAAATAACAGATGAATAATATTTATTGTAAATTATTTGTATAGATTCGTACCTTAGTTGGTAAGGCAATTTAAAAACTTAGGTGCACAAATTATCATTGTCAGGTTCAAGTTTTCTCATCCAAAGACTTGCGTGCCGAATAATGCGTTATTTCCTGCAGTGCATTTATTTATCTCGAAATATTTCTTGAAAATTTGCATGGTGAGTAAACACTAATAATGTTAAATGCTTGTTGTAAACCACATACAGTTCAGAAAAGTTTTTTTTTTTTTTTTTTGATTCACGTGCTTCAGTCGTCATCAGGAGTTATTATTCTCTTGATGATGACTGAAGGAATCCAATCGAAATGTCGAGACACTTGACAAAAACAACATTATTGTTCAGAACTATCGACATTAATTGTTAATTTGCATGCAAACTTTGAATAATATTTTAAGTACAGTATCAATAAGTTAATAAATAAATATAATACAAATTTAAAATAAATATAAACATTCAAATACTGTTTGTTATGCAGGTATCATCACAAGATACAAAAACCTTCTGCAGGGTCTGACAGTGTTAAATTTAACTTCCAGTACAACATGTGTAAAAAATATGGATTTAGGGTAAATCACTGTTTTATTGTCTTGGTAATATTAATCTGTCAGTAAGTAAGTAACTTACTTTACTGTTTCTCTTTTATAGCAGAGGCACAACCGTAAAAGATGTGCAACAAAAACAAAATCAGAATAAACATAATTACTGTGATTATGTATTAAAGAAAAAAATATATGTATATATACATATA